CGTGACATTGGTTTGTTTCAGGACTTGCGCATTCATCGACGTCTAGAATAAGAATCAGATTTTAGAGTGATTTTTCCAACAACTGGTCTCAAGAGAAAAAATTGTTCCGAGCAAAGATAATATATTGCGCAATGGGTTCTTGTGAAAACTTTAGCTTAAACAGGGCAAGTAGAGCCGTCACCTGCACAGATCCTGCCGTCTCCTTCGTAACCACGAATACAGCGACAAATGTAAGCTCCTTCGGTATTGGTACATATCGCGTTAGGGTCACATTCGTTGCCCTCGATGTCTTCGCACTCATTGAGATCTACAAATAATTAGACAAGATATTCTCACTACAGCAGAATGTTTGCTAGAGGCCTTTCAGCTTTCAAAAGTCTGATCGTTCAATTCTAACTACGCTCTACCATACTTAAGAATAGGCCGTGGAAAGTGATGTGTAGATAGTTTCTGATGTATAATACTATCCTCAGGTTAACGCTAAGTGTCCGTAATAAGAGGGCTCAAGTGTTAAAAAACATAAAAAATAAAAAACGATCCATGTTAAAGAGGAACATGCCCGTCTAAAAAACGGGCGTCCGAAAAACAATCGAGGTTCCACCGTTCTTGTAAATACAGTTTCTCGATACCGAACGTTAAATAGAATGCACTTCAGAGAGAAGCAGATTAGACTCTAGCTCCTACCTGTGCAGTTGTATCCGTCGCCTTGGAAACCATTATCACAAGCACAGGCAGGGAGACCAGCGTCTTCACTGCAGAAAGCATTTGGACCACAGGATGGGGAACAACCAGGTATAACAGCTGAAATAAGAGAAAAAAAAAAGATAATTAGCAAATTGAGTTAAAACAGTGACCGAGGCACCCTGTTAGTCGGGCAGTTCCTACCATTGCACTGAAATCCTTCAGTGCTATCGGTAACACATAAAAGCGCCCTCTTTGACACAGGGCGTCAAGGATTGGTACTTTCGTCAATGTCCAATTGGGTAAGCCGTGTATAATTAAAAAACAGAATCCATGTTGCCCTGCGTCTGTTCAATAATTGATCTCAGATGAGATCAAAATGTGGTAAGGACAAAAAAAAGGCACACGAGACGATAGCCGAGTGTGCCACTAATCTTCTTACCGCATTGTGACGTCTTCTGTGATCACTTACTGAACAGACGCACGGCAACATGGAATCTATTTGCTTTGTTTAATAAAGAAACAAAAAATGTCAGTGAAAACATCTATGCGTCTGTCCTCCAGTTGATCACAACAAGAAGCAATCAAAATGGGAGAATAAACACCGTTTGACTTGAAGTAAGCACTTAAAAGGAAAGAAAAATGGAACCTAGTTTAGCATAAAGAAAAACCTCACAATCTATGGTATTTTACCTGTGCAGTTTTTACCATTCCCACTATACCCCTTCTTACAGCGACAGACGTACGATCCTTCAGTGTTGGTACATACGGCGTTTAGGTGACATTCGTTTGTTTCAGAACTTGCGCATTCATCGGCATCTGCAAAAATGTGATATCAGGATGGTTTTCTTAAAAAATAAACAAGTTGTACCGAACAACGAAAGTGATATATTCTTCATGAAGTACTTCTCACAGTAGAACAAAACAAAGAAATTGAGACTTTATCCCTTACCAATGCACACTCTGCCATCTCCTCCGTAACCTCGTGTGCAGCGACAAATATAAGAGCCATCGGTGTTAGTACACAGGGCATTAGGATCACATTCATTATCCTCAGAAGTCTCGCACTCATCAAGATCTGTAAATTGATTGAATCAAGAGAAGATGAAAGGTAAGTCAATCCCCTGCAGAGGCCTTTTTGCCAACTTAGTTAGGATTAACAGCAGCCAAAAATGCTAAGCACTTAAAAGACGCATTCCATACGTAAGTGTCTGTTCATACTGGTCGGTGTCAATAAAAATATGCTCCACTGTTCTTGTAAAGTTTGTACATAAAGCCATTGCAGTCGTTACTCGTAAATTATTGCTGTATGCAGTACAATATTTTCTTTCCCTTTAGTACCTGTGCAGTTGTATCCGTCACCTTGGTAACCTACTTTACAAATGCACGAAGGGGCTCCAGCGTCTTCCTGGCAGAAAGAGTTTGGACCACAAGTTGGGGAACAACCGGGTATAACAGCTAGGATAAAAAATTAGATAATCATGAGTTTATAAATCAAATATAGAAGACTACAGCAGTGTCTTACGCGAGTTGATACCTGTACAATTTCTTCCATCGCCCTCGAAACCTTTTCCACATCTACAGACGTAAGAGCCCTCTGTATTGGTGCACAAGGCATTGAGGTCACATTCATTTGGGCCCGCACATTCATTAAGATCTAAATAAGTGAAAAGTATAAAAACACTGTTTGAGTCGTGTAAGAGGTAAAAGAAAAATATTGAAATCATCACCATCGAGTATAGAACGATGAAAAACAACAGTATCATGGTACTCTACCTGTGCAGTTTCTACCATCTCCAGTATATCCCTTTTTACAACGACAAACATAAGATCCTTCAGTGTTCGTACACATGGCGTTGAGGTGACAGTCATTTTCATCAGAATTAGCGCATTCATCAATGTCTGGGAAAACAAGACATATAGATCTTAATATGGTTTTCTAGCACATTTGACAAAAACATTTTGAATTAAGCTTAAAAAGAGGTATTAGCAGTTTCACCTGTGCAGATCCTACCATCTCCTTCGTACCCTCGGGTACATCGACAGATGTACGATCCTTCAGTGTTGGTACACAGGGCGTTGGGGTCACAACTGTTACTCTCGGAATTATCGCACTCACTGGAATCTATAAAGGGTATGAGCATAAAATTATCATTGCAGTCAGCTTTCCATGGATCCAGCTCTTCAGTTAGATGGCAGTCCCAACGTTTGGAGGTTTGGGGAAAAACTCACTTAGAGAGGCATATACCATGTATAATTTAGAAATTCTGTACATTGAATAGTGAATCAAACTTGAACAGGTAAAACGCTAGTTTAGTTATATCTGTCTTTATCCTGACAAGATTAACAAACCATAGAGAACTGAACACTCCAAATACGAATCCTATTCAACGCATGCACAAGAAGGCGAGGTTTGCTTTTGCCATCTCTAGAAACCTTATAGCAGAGGAAAGAGGATTTTTGACTTATAAATAAATTCCAAACCGTTGCATTGCAACACTGTCGTTACATTACAAAAGGCTGCCTGGCATCTGACACAAACCTGTGCAGTTGTATCCATCACCTTGGTAACCAACATTACACACACACACAGGGGCTCCAGTGTCTTCCTGGCAAAGAGCGTTTGGACCACAAGATGGCGAACAACCAAGTGAAACAGCTGTAAGGAAAAGTTAGTAGAATTACATAAGACCTCTATGACGATGATTAAGAAACTATAAATGAACTTTTCGTTTACCTGTGCAGTTTGTTCCATCACCCTGGTAGCCTTTTACACAGCGACAAACATAAGATCCTTCAGTGTTGGTACACAGAGCATTGGGGTCACATTCATTCGTTTCAGGACTTGCACACTCGTCAAAATCTACATAGGCAAATTGTAAATAGATATTCCTCGACATTAAACATAAGAAAGAACTGCGACAACAATAACACGGAAAAAATTAGAACAATGATTACCCATTACCTGCGCAGTTTGCACCATCACCAAAATAACCCCTTTTACAGCGACAAATATACGATCCTTCAATGTTGGTACACATAGCGTTTAGGTCACAATCGTTTGTTTCAGGACTTGAACATTCATCAATGTCTAAGAGAAGAAAAGTAATTTTGATTGGGTTTTATAGTATATGTAACTGCTGCAAACTTAAAAACAAAGGTATACTTTTAGTTAATCTCCTTAGTTTTGAGCAAAACGTTAAAACAGGTGAAGATTGAATGACAATGTTAAGAGCAGAAGAAAGCCAAGAGACTGCCTTTCACGCGAACCTGTGCAGTTGT